AAGTTTAAGAGATTTTTTACAATATCATTACTCATCTCCCCTCAGCCAGAAATGGGATAAAGTCTATAAACTCGACAAATAATGGAATCTTAAGATTTCTTCTTGGCTGATGATAGTAAATAACATTTCTAGCCTGTGAGCAAAGCCTGAATACTTTGAGTCAAGATTTCTAATTTCTTGTCGGTTGATGATAGTAAATAACATTTCAAACCTATGAACAAAGGTCTAAATGTAATGGCTCAGTATTTCTAATTTTAAGAGATTTTTGACTATATTATGACTCATATCACCTTGACAAGAAGTGGGATAATGCCTTTAAAATCTACAATTAATGGAATCTAAAGATTTCTTCTCGGTTGATGATAGTAAATAATATTTCACACTTGTGGACTGAATCTTAATGTAATAGGACAATATTTCTAATTTTAAGAGATTTTCTACTATATTAATACTTATATCACCTTGACCAGAAATGGGATAATGCCTTTAAAATCTACAATTAATGGAATCTTAAGATTTCTTCTTGGTTGGTGATAGTAAATAATATTTCACACTTATGAGCAGAATCGTAATGTAATGGGTTAGTATTTCTAATTTTAAGAGATTTTTTACTATATCATGACTCATATCACCTTGACCAGAAATGGGATAACACCTTTAAAATCTACAATTAATGAAATCTTAAGATTTCTTCTTGGCTGATGATAGTAAATGACATTTCAAACCTGTGAGTAAGCCTCAACACTTTGAGTCAAGATTTCTAATTTTAAGAGATTTTTTTACGATATTATTATTATTCATATAACCTTGACCAGAAATGGGATAACACCTTTAAAATCTACAATTAATGAAATCTTAAGATTTCTTCTTGGCTGATGATAGTAAATAACATTTCAAACCTGTGAGCAAAGCCTCAACACTTTGAGTCAAGATTTCTAATTTTAAAAGATTGTTTTTACTATATTATTATTCATATAACCATGATAACCTTGACCAGAAATGGGATAACACCTTTAAAATCTACTATTAATGAAATCTTAAGATTTCTTCTTGCCTGTTGATAGTAAATAACATTTCAAACTTGTGAGGAGAATCTGAATGCTATTGGTCAATATTGCTAATGTTAAGAGATTGTTGACTATATTATTACTCACATCCCCTCAACCAGAAGTGGCATAAATGTTATACTTTCAAGAATGAAAGGAATCTTGAGAGTTTTGTTTTCTGAACATTGTCATTCACGTTTACAACCTTTGAGAAACATGTACTTTGACAATAAGCTGTGCATATGAAACTACATAGTTTTAAAAAAAGCTTCGTCCCCTTCACAGCTGTTATAGGCTAACTGATCATCATGGAGGGACTGACTGCACAATGCATGACATTGTGCTAGGTCTGTACCTGCCTTTATAGAAACCACAGAAAAAAGGTAAAAAGTAAAGGTATAATGACTTACCTACACATTCTCGTCTTTCAAAGAAATATTATCTTAGAAACTTCAGCCACTTGGCCTTCAACAGCAAGGACCAGACGACCATTTTGATCAAGTTGTAAAGGGAGGATAACTCTTACTGTTGCTTTGTCTTGCAAATTTTAATGTCAATGATGACAGAGCATGAGATAACAAGTTCAGTTCTCTATTAGTAATGGGTTTATTAAATATATGTTATCTGTCTTAAGTTGGTAATTTTGAAACCTTTCTAAATATTTCAATCATATTAAATAATATCATTTAGATTCCATATGGTCTCCCCAGAAATATGAGGACATTTTGCTGGCAAAACGGTTATGAAAGCTTCAACGTTTTTATGTCAATAAGCTACCAGGAATGGTTAAATGAGTTTCCCAGTTATTTTAATACTGACCAGGAAGGAGATTTTGTCATACCTGGTATTACATATGTATTTTTTCCTTTAAAACAATGAGAAAAAGAATAGGATGGTGGGTGAATCAAAGGAACATTAAAGAAATCTTTTTTTAACAAGAGAAATCTTTTTCAACAATTTCTACTCTAATATTTCTATATGTAATTAGTTTCTTTAATTTTTTAATTTAGACTTCTAAGATGAAGCACAAACTTTCTCACATCCTGCATCTGCTATGCCTGGAAGCAGTTACATGTACCTCCTCCATTAATATAAGAAAATAGTTGCTTTTATCATCATGTACACAATAATCAAATGGAATGATTTTGAATAATTGTTACCACTAAAATCTAACATGATAATGATGGTAATATTTACAAAAAATGACTTTGGGACTTGAGAATACAAACAAAAATACACACATCAGTTGCCAGAGGGCTGTGAGGTGTTGGGGCTTAGAGATCCCTTGAACAGTACAAATTTAAATGTACCCCTTTCAACTCTGACATGTTGAGTATTCATTGTTTGATGTTTAATGACACACTTAGTTATATTCAAAATAATTAATATTATTATATTGATGTACATACCCTCCCACATATATTTTGTGAACATCATGGCCTATTGTACAATGTCATGAGTATTTATTCCTAGACATTTACCTATTGTTTTACTGTGTATGAGAAGAAATATGTCATAACTCTCATAACTCTTGCAAAATTGCATAACACAAACATCCTAGGAACTTGAATTATTACGCTTGTATCCCCACCAATGAGTGGCATAACAACTTTAAAATACATAAATTAGAGAATAATTTTATTTTCATTTGGCTTTTGCTATTTTATAGGAAACACTGTGTTCAGAAGTGGCTAAGATAGCTATTTAACAGAAAATTTACTCTGTTATTAAACATGTCACCACCTCACAAAGGTTATGATATGATAGACAATTACATAATACATTTGGGAGTGATATCATGGTTAGAAATTAAACATGGCAATGGGCAGTAATTACAGATAATAAGCAACTGGACCATTTTTATAGGAATTGCATTTTGTCATGAGCGATATGCATAAAAAGAAGAAATTGTATTCCGCTTTAGTTTCGCATTACCACTTTTATACGCTGCTATATTTAGCTGCAAATGTCGGACATCGAGTCAGTAGCATTGCCATTGGCGCACTTTGCAGAACGGAGTAAAAATACAAAACACAAGAAGTGCAGATGATTTTGCTCTTATTAAATGTTTGTCAATTAAACACATAGTTGCATGCCAGAGATATAATTCTCTACGGTGTTTATCCCAGTTCTGGTCGTATCCCAGTTCTGGTCGCTACATAGCAGGGGTGTGATGTCCTGGGCAGGAATTCGAAATGACAGTGTTTTGACTACTCTTCTTTCATTAATTAACATGTTTGGCATACCTAATTAACCTTTACTAATTCATGTTAAACCAACACAGAATGTTTTCTGCAAGTGGATATTCGCGAATGTCATAGGACTGACACGACACGTGTTAATAACTGTCAAAGCGCTTCTAAAAATACAACACATACTTTACATCTATAGACTAATTATAATATCATATCTACCTATATAACACTTTAGTGTCTCATATTGCAGTAGAAAACACGGTGCTCAAAAGTGAAGCCCTTTTCCCTCTACATTCTCTCTATCAGAAGTGCTTTGCTTGTGTTGGGTCCGACTTGGCCCGGGCGGTCAAAATCAACTTTAAACACACAGACGTATCTTCAAATGTGTTTACATCTATAGATTAGTGTTATATCTACCTATATACCACTTTATAATGTCACGGTTCATCGTATTTAAAGAAAACAGGGGGTCTCAAAGTGAATTTTTCTACTGTATTTTCTCAAGAAAATTTATGTCAGAAGTGTTCGGTCCGACTTGGCCCGGGCTGTCTAAATCAACTTAGACCTCACAGATGTATCATCAAATGGATTCGCATCTATAGATTAGTGCTATATCTACCTATATGCCACTTTATTATGTCACGGTACATCGTATTTAAAGAAAACAAGGTGCTCAAAGTCAAGCATTTTTACTGTATTTTCTTAAGAAAATCTATGTCAGAAGTGTTCGGTCCGACTTGGCCCGGGCGGTCAAAATCAACTTTAAACACACAGATGTATCTTCAAATGTGTTTACATCTATAGATTAGTGTTAAAACTGCCTATGTACCACTTTATAATGTCACAGTTTATCGCATTTAAAGAAAACCATGAGTTCAAAGTGAAGCCCTTTTCCCTTTGGCACTGTATATAAATATATATTGCGCACTATGTTTCCACAATGTGATGCTTCAACTTTAAATTGTTAATTTTCATTATGCAATATTATGTATAACTGTATATAGGGTGAAGGTGGTAATAAGTGCTGCACTTGTGCCCAATCCCTTGGTCATGTATCTCTTCAGCAAGTGCGAATCAGGTCCTAACACATCTGTTTTGTCATGTATCACGCGCTATACAGTCGAACCTCGCTTATCTGGACAATTTTCTTAAATGTTGTCCGGATAAACGAGTTTCTGGATATCTGAATACCTTGTTAACTGACCAGAAGTCCTTCCCCTACCTCAATTCTACCGAGGCATATGTGAAATGAATGGCAAAAATATGATTTATGAAGGATCTACCAATTACTAATAAAATACATTGTGCTGTACAGACTAACACAGCATGCTGTGACAGCGTGCTGCATTATTGAAACGGCTGAAGAAATGCATTTGTAGCCTAGTTAAGACTATAGACTTGTTTTGTGTACAGATACGAGGGCGAGGTTGGGGAAACCTGACACACATGAGCATTAATAGCCATGATTACCTGTACTAGTTGAGAGCCAAGGTTGAAGTCATTCATGTGTGAAAAATGTTGTCGAGGCATCTGTAAACGGCTAAAGAAATGCAAATGTAGACTAGTTTAGAATATGCACTTGCTTTGTGTACGGATGTGACGGCGAGGTAAGGGCAACCTGACACACACGAGCATTAAAAGTACAGTTTACCCGTACTTGTAGTTGACTGCCAAAAATGCTGTCGAGTCATCTGTACATCTTCTTTGTCGAATTGCATTATTAAAGTACATCAAGATGAGACTTTATATACATTCATATATATTAGTTGAGAACGAAACCTTGAAGTGTAGCCAGGACATTTCCTCGAAACGATGGGCGGCCATGTAGCTTCAATATCTTATAAATTATATCACTGAACATAGGTCAAGGTGTATTCAGTAAACAAAGATCTGAAGGGCTGTATATCCATCATCGAACACACTGTGCGTTCATCACAGTTTGTGACGGATTACGGATACGAACGAACTAGCACTTGTTTGGCAGGTAGGTTTTGTTAAGATGTGTTATCTTGTTCTCTCTCTACCCTCTACTTCCTTAATCACAATTTAAATCCTAAATAGACTTTCGGGCCCAACACTGTGGCAATTTTAGACCCTCTGTTTCTGTATTTACTTGAGCTCATTTCCCCTAAGGTTTACACATCTCATAAGACTAAGTCATCAATGATGTCAAAGCTGTCTGAAATGTTTCTTATGAACAGTTTATGAAGCTAAACAATGTCCATGTGACTTAAGCACAAAAACACTTCTGACAGAGATTTTCTTAAGAAAATACAGTAAAAATGCTTCACTATGAGCACCTTGTTTTCTTTAAATACGAAGTACCGTGACATTATAAAGTGGTAAATAGGTAGATATAACATTAATCTATAGATGTGAATCCAATTGATGATACATCTGTGAAGTTTAAGTGGATTTTGACAGCCCGGGCCAAGTCGGACCCAACACAAGCAAAACACTTCTGATTCAGACTATGTTGAGAATGTAGAGGGAAAAGGGCTTCACTTTGAGCACCTTCTTTTCTGTAAGTACAGCGATCTGAGACACTATAAAGTGGTATTTAGGTGGATATAATACTAATCTATAGATGTGAATCCATTTGATGATACATCTGTTAGGTTTAAGATGATTTAGACAGCCCGGGCCAAGTCGGACCGAACACTTCTGACATAGATTTTCTTAAGAAAATACAGTAACAATGCTTGACTTTGAGCACCTTGTTTTCTTTAAAAACGATGTACCGTGACATAATAAAGTGGTATATAGGTAGATATAGCACTAATCTATAGATGTGAATCCATTTGATGATACATCTGTGTGTTTAAATGTGATTTTGACCGACCGGGCCAAGTCGGACTCAACACAAGCAAAACACTTCTGCTGGAGACTATGTTGAGAATGCAGAGGGAAAAGGGCTTCACTTTGAGCCCCTTGTTTTCTTTAATTACAGCGATCTGAGACACTATAAAGTAGTATTTAGGTAGATATAATACTAATATATAGATGTGATTCCATTTGATGATACATCTGTGAGGTTTAAGTTGATTTTGACAGCCCGGGCCAAGTCGGACCGAACACTTCTGACAGAGATTTTCTAAAGAAAATACAGTAAAAATGCTTCACTTTGAGCACCTTGTTTTCTTTAAGTACAACGATCTGAGACACTATAAAGTGGTATTTAGGTAGATAGTATACTGGTTGTTAGATGTGAATCAATTTGATGATACATATGTGAGTTTAAAGTTGATTTTGACAGCCCGGGCAAGGTCGGACCGAAAACCTGTGTGACTGTTGAGAGTATAGGGAGAAGAGGTCTACTTTAACCAACGTGTCTGCTTTAAATACGACGATCAGTGACATTATAAAGTGGTATTTACTTATATATAGATCTTTCCTATAAATATAAACACTATGCGCACAGATGGAACGTTGTATCACGATAGCTAGAAGTATTTGATACGTTTCAAATCTTATTTCGTTTAACGATTGCTCTTTTACATGTTACAAAGATCAGCGACGCTTACACACCGCTCCACTTTCTGGTTTTCAAGCGATTTACTCCGAATTACTTATTTATGGTGCACTTTTTTGTTTGGTGATTGTTCATTAATGTCATGTGTGTATGTTGCATCAATAATATGTAGGTATGATCGCCGATGATGAAGTAATTAGCCAGTAACACTTTGGCCCGTCTTGGCCCGGCCCGGCCCGACTTTTAGGCAATGCCTTAAGTAAAGATATAATAATATTTTCAACACGCATTTTAAACCATTTCTATGCGAAAATGCGAGGCTCCCAGATGTGCCACTAAGTTTTCAGGCTATTTCCATAGGGACGTTTGTATAGACAACCCCCTGTGGTAAAGGGAAGCAATATAGTTTCCAAAAGGGGATATAGAGCGACTGTTTTCAAGTTATTGTATGCCTAAATGGTTCAGGAAAGAGATAATAATATTTCAACACGTATTTTAATCTATTTCCATGCGAAAAATGCGAAGCTCCCAGATGTGCCACTAACTTTTCAGGCTATTTCCATAAGGACGTTTGTATAGACGACCCCCTGTGTTTAAGGGAAGCTATATAGTTTCCAAGACAGGATATAGAGCTACACCTTTTACTTCATTTTATGTCTAAATGGTTCAGGAAAGAGATAATACTATTTCAAACACGTATTTTAAACTATTTCCATGCGAAACATGCGAAGCTCCCAGGTGTGCCACTAAGTTTTCAGGCTATTTCCATAGGGACGTTTGTATAGACGACCCCCTGTGTTAAAGGGAAGCTATATAGTTTCCGAGACAGGATATAGAGCTACACCTTTTACTTCATTTTATGTCTAAATGGTTTAGTAAAGATATAATACTATTTTAAACCCGTATATTAAACTATATATCTTGCATGTGTATGTAAACAGGTAGTCTGTCTTACAGACCCTGATACAAATATATATCAAATACAGCCCATGCAAGTCTATAATGTTTGGCAAGTCTAGATCACTGCAGTATATAGTAAAAAGAAGAGAGTCACTGGGCTCCTTTTTATTATATTTTTATTAAGATAACTGAACAACTGTTTTTTTTTGAAGATCCGGTCAAGAATAGATTTACAGCAACCCATGCTTGCCGTTATAGGCGACTATGCTTGTCGTAAGAGGCGACTAAAGGGATCGGGTGGTCAGGCTCGCTGACTTGGTTGATGCATGTCATCGTATCTCAATTGCGTGGATCGGTGGTCGTGATATCAATCACTGGATCCAGACTCCATGTACTGACAACCGTCATACAACTGGAATATTGCTACGTGCGGCGTTACACAAAGAACAACAAAACGGAAAAAACGGATCCTACTTATTTTGTGGATACCATAACAATAAATGAAATCAATGGATCGTTTGAGCTAGTTAAATATAAAAAAATAGTCGATAGTCATATTTCCCTCTGTTGGTCCCACGTGAAATGTTCTTCATGAATACTGTAATCATGAAACTAACGCAATAATAAGTCAGCACATTAATGCGAGTATAGAAGAACCCTGGCCTCAAATGCGTCATGACATTTATGAAAGTAGCCTTGCAAAAATAACTGTAGTCTCACAATTTAATAATGTAGTATTGGCTGATAGATGTTTGACCGAATAATATCATTTGTTCAATCAACTGTTCATCTAATTTCCATTAATGTATGTTACATTGATAATATGTTCATGGGTTTCTTCTCTGAACGTATAGTGTTGAGGACTACTTCAGTTGAGGATAAGTAACATAAATAATGAGGATATTATTTTGATATTATTGTCATTATTATTCCTTCAGATCATTAAAAAGAGTTATTATGTTTCACATTAAACATAGAGAAAGAGGTATGGATATTGTGGAGATTATTTTTTAGCATCGACATTATTAACATAATTCTTAAAGATATTATGTTTTGTTTATGGTCTAATGCCGCACTCAGCAACTTCAGGATATTACAACATACATTTAGGTTCAGTTGTATTATTTAATTTGCTTTATATTGCAAATGTTACAGAGACCTGATAAATTAATATAAAAATGTATAGTCGCTATTCTTAAAAGTAAGCATATGTTAGATTTATCAACCGGAAATATTGCACACCAAAGGATAATTATATATCATGACACTATTCTATGTCGAAGTCAACTATATTTGTGTTTGTTATTGCTACATGATTGGTTATGACTCTGTTACGTCATGATAAAGCAATGAGAAATTGACATTTGATGATATAAGACAGCTACGCGATAAATCACAAAGAAGAAGGAAGCGATTTTTATTTCACGATAAAACCTTGTTCTATCATGACGTCATTTATGGAGATTCGAACATGCACTCGCAACTTGAGGACGTCGTAACTTTGATGTTATGAGTGAGAGGGAAATGTCCAGTAAGTTGTTCCCAATAGATGTAGCAGGGTAAGGTAGATAAATGCAATGCCCGAACAATCGCATCAGAAAGTGAGAGCGAAATGTTAATCGGTATTGGGAGAAAAGGTACAGACGAGAAAATTGTGAGAACATGCGGGAAAGACCAAATTCAAACACTCCTGTTCATAAAATGGATTTATCTGGCATTGCCGCGGTCGTACGTAATGTTGATATCACATATAAGAAATAAACGAGTCGTGGTCGTTGTTTATCTACAATAAACAACTCCCACTCGCGGTTTGTTTCTTAATTACATGACCATATACCTTGACATTATATCACAGTTGATTATATCAGTTGACAAAAACGACATAAGCCGTTCCGTCATCACAAGAAACCCTTGCCAAAAGTAGCGCCAACTGCACGATTCCGACAACACCAGGAGCATGCATGTTTCATTATTCACCTTATGAAATGATGACACTGGGTGCTCGCAAAAAGGCGAGCTCATCCCGATCCACTAGTGGCACCCGCTACAAACACATGCAAAGGCAAGCCAATTGTTCACCCGAAAATGCACGGAAACACACGGTACAAGTTAAAATAGAGAATTGCATCAGACATCATTTTGGTCATTGATACGTCAAACCTGGAAATGCCAGCTACACGTCCAACAAAGAGACCAAGCCAGGACCCGAATCCTTTAAACCCACCCAAAACAACCCCCTGAGCACGAAGCTTCCATACATTTTCTCCTAACCTAAATTAATCTATACTAGTTCTGAAGTAAATCGTATTTACCCGCATGAATCGCCTTATGTCATTTATTCCCGATAAACAGAGCATGCACACTTTCCGTCAGTAATGTGGGGTAAGTCACGCACCAAACCTATACTCTCGATATACATGTTGCTCTTACTTAAAACACTATTGGGCTTACAAGATACGTTTATTAAAGTGCCATGCTTTTCTGATGTGCTATCATTCTAATTCGAAATAATGACATAAATAGTCATCCTTCAATATTTTTCAAGGTCGGGTTAATCACAAACATATTTGAATATATACCACATCTATACTTACATGAACTTATCTTTTATA